TCTTCTCTCCTTTATTCAGAGAGAAACTGCATTCTGCACCTGGATGTTGTTAACCAAGGATTCATACTCAGCTCCCAGTCCAAGCCAGGTCTCCAGGTGCCACTTGGGGGGTGCCTGACAAATGAACAGGTATCCACACCACACAGAAGAGATGTTCCAGTTACTGGTGTTACTTCTCTAACGATGAGGTGGTTTGGGCCCCACGTGAATACTCATGAGCTTTGCACACAATGATACATAGACCAGCCCAGAGGTCCCCAAGGCCTGGATCCAGGAAGAGGATTCTCTCTAGTGCTTTGTACTTGGCTAGAGTTGAGGATGCCTGCACTCATTTCTGCCCACTCACACAGCCCCACACCCTGGGTGCCTAAGATCCATTCTCAGGCCTGCCTCACCACCATTGACCAGATCAGGATATTCTGAGACTCCCCACAAAACCTCTGGAGGCTCTGAGAGTACACAGGGAGGGCAGGATGACTGAGCCAGAAGAGACTTTTGCCTATGGGGGCCTGAGGCTGCAGGAAATTGTTTTTTTCTCCCCCAGGCTATGGAGTAATTGAATCTAGGAGTAGAGATGCCCCTTGCAGCTCAGTGACTAGAGAACAACCTCTCTTTCATCCTTTCAAAAGGTCAGCACCTTCAAGACCAGAATGGGCTCATCCTGGCCCCCACTTCACATATGATCTTAGTGACAGCTCCAAGGCCAGCAGTCAGGCCTCTTGGAACCTGTCTGGGGCATGTAGGAAAAGAAGGGGCCTCTTGGGAGAGAACATGATGCCTTGGGCCACCTGGCCAGGTTTTCTGTGATATCCCCAGGACAATGGCAATCTCAAAAGCAAAAATAATCAGGTTTTGCAAAGAATGATATTCATTTGGGAATGGTAGAGCAACACAATGGTTGAACATGTGTCATAATAGACTATGAGTGCACTCCAAGGGTCTGAGGGAGGGGGAGTTCTTAAAGGAAAACATAAGGAATGCTATACCAAATACTTTGAAACAACAATATTGGATCACAATGGACAATACCTAGGCTGAATCCTTTACAATAGTTACTATTAGGCAACCAAGAGTTCAGTATTAGTTCCAGGGCTGCAGCAGGTTGGACAGGACAGGAGCTGAGATGGTGCTACGGGACTCATGGTTGTTAGTGACCATACAGGAAGTGTCCCTAGAACGGTGGTAAATGCCCAATTAGGGTGAGCCCAAGAAAGAATGGCAGAAGCATGGACAAGAGTATACACACAAGTCCACACTTCCTGCTGAAAAGAGAGTCAAGTGTTCACAAAGACATGTGATGCAGAGGTTTTGTCTCACAGATGAACATTGCATACGATGCTCAGACCATGCAAAGAGATTGATGTGAGACACTGGTAGAAAATCAACATACAAGGGACTTCAGAGTGCACTTACTTTAGAAATGAGAAATATCAACAAACAATTTCTCTTTGGTTTGTCTGTGCTTTGATGAGGGAAGATTGCCTTTCATCTGAGAGCCATTTTTCACTGTGTGGTATGCTGCAATCGCACCGAATTAAAATATTTTTCCTAGTTGTTTTCTTTCTCTGAAAATGTTCATCTTAAGGATGTATTTACAATAAGATTGCATTTTGGGGCTGGTACTGTGGTGCAGTGGGTTAAACCACTGCTTGAGGTGCTAGCATCACATACAGGTGCCAGTTTGAGTCCTGGCTGCTCCACTTCCAATTCAGCTCCCTGCTAACGTACCTGGGGTAGTAGCAGAAATGCTTGGGCCCCTGCACCCATGTGGGAGACCTGGAAGAAGCTCCCAGCTCCTGGCTTTGGTCTGGCCCAGCTTTGGCCATTGCAGCCATCTGGGGAGTGAAGTAGATAGAAGACACCTTTCTCTCTCTCTCTCTCTCTCTCTCTCTCTCTCTCTCTCTCTCCCCTCTCTCTCTTCCTCTAACTCTATCTTGCAAATAAAGTAAATAAATCATCTTAAAAGATATTGCATGTTATATACCTTATTACCATCAGATAGCTGAATAATTTGGGGGCTCCTAAGCTTACTGGGGATGCATTAAAGACCTGAATTTAAGGCCTACAGCTAAATTTGCTAGGAGATAATATAGGGGAAACACTTCAAGACATTGGTGTAGATGGTGACTTCTTGGTTAAGGTCTCCAAGGCATAGACAACAAAAGCAAAACTAGACAAATGGTATTATATCAAAACTCAGAAGCTTCTGCATGTCAAAGGAAAACATAGAGTGAAGAGACATCCAACAGAAAGTGCAAAAATTCTTGTGAGCTACTCATCTGATAAGGGGTTAACATTCAGAATATATCAGCAACATAAAAAACTCAACAACAAACAACCAGTCGAGTTAAGAAATGGGGAAAGGACCTCAGAAGACAGTTCTCTAAAGAAGAAATGCAAATGGCTAACAAATATGGTGAGGGAATTCTTAGGGGATAATAATGTAAACCAACCCAAGCATTTGGTATATGGTTGTCCTTGAATTCAGAACATGGCCATCAGGAGGTAATTAGTTCTGACCAAATGATACTGCATTATTGGTTTTGTAATAATCGTCAAATATCATCAGTTTCTCATAGTGGATTCCAAAACATTTGGAGAGGCTTATTATTTTTTAGACATTTGGGAAAGCAAGGACAGACTGTTCAGTAATCAGAAAGGTGTTCTTTAGAACCACCACAAGAGAGCAGTAAGATGTAGGCTTTAGTATCTGCACCCCTGTTTCTCAGAGGCTTGGGAATATGTTTATTCCACCTTTCTTGTGTTAGTGTCTCCTTTTCTTCATTTTAAAATTCTCAAACATCTTGAGATAAATTTACTCTCTCTGGAACCTTCTGATTGTACATCTGTGTCTGTGTGTGCACATGTGCATGAGTATATGTTAATGTTCATACATGCATTGTGATGTGTGTGCTTGTCTAACATATGTATACATCTCTGTTAGTATTGCTATTGTATATCTTCATGTGTACCTTCATCTGTGTGTAATATGTAAGTGTGTGAGGGTTAAGTGTATGAGTGTGTGTACCTTTATGAAATATATTTTTGTGTATACCCACTCACATCAAATACTATGCACATGTATGTGTGTGTGTGTTAGATGTGCACTGTGGTGTGTCCATTTGTGTGGCTCAGGCCTATTCAAGTGTGGGCTAGGGTATGTGACATATGTGTGCCTGTGTTCATGTTTGTGGGATTTTGTTGGATGGGCAGGGAGATTTCAAATAGCATTTATATGTGTGTGTAATGACAAGGAACTAAACCAACTGCCCTCTTTTTAAAAGATTTATTCATTTATTTGAAAGTCAGAGTTACACAGGGAGAGGAGAGGCAGAGAGAGGGGGAGAGAGGTCTTCCATCTGATTGCTCATTCCCCAATTGGCCACAACAGCCAGAGCTGTGCTGATCTGAAGCCAGGAACCAGGAGCTTCCTCCATGACTCCCATGTGGGTGCAGGGACCCAAGGACTTGGGCCATATTCCACTGCTTTCCCAGGCCATAGCAGAGAGCTGGATTGGAAGTGGAGCAGCCAGGTCTTGAACCAGTATCCATATGGGATGCCAGTGCTTCAGGCCACAGTGCTGTGCCACAGCGCCGGTCCCACAAACTGTCCATAGAACTTTCTTCCCAATTGAACACCTCACTCTGGCAGTGTGCTGTCTGCACTCTCTGGAGAGATCAGAGGAACCCTTTGACTCCCATGTTGAGACCACTACTCTGTCTGTGTTTCTCTGTCCTGCACAACAGTTACATTCACTGGATTGTGTGGGGGCCATCGTAAGCCCCCAGACCCACCGTTAATTATTTGTTTGTTCTGTGTAGAAGCTCTGAGTCTAAAGAGCACTTTAGTATTTATTTCTATCACCACACAGTCTTACTTTCTCTGATATTTGACCATTTCATCTCTAATGATTGACTTTCTTAGAAAAATACAGGTGTCAACTATCCTCTCAAATAATCTGTTTCTAATATGACCATTTTCTTGGCTTCAGCAGATTCTTTTGAAGGAAAACTTGTCAGCTTATCTTCCTAAAGCTTATTTATGCCTGCCTTTATTTTAAACTCTGTATTCCTTTGCAAAAATGCCAGAGGAACCTTCACAAGCTCTGTTTCTTAGAAATAGTTGATTACTTGCTTTTGAGGTTTGTCTTGAAATGGTGTTCTCTGATCTTAGTGCCTGATATGTAGTCATTTTTCATGTTTTCCCACCTAGCATTTTCTTTTTATTTATTTATTTTTTGAAAATAACACACAGAGAGAAGAAGAGGCAGAGAGGCAGAGGTCTTCCATCCACTGGTTCATTCCCCAATTGGCTGCCATGGCTGGAGCTGCAGCAATCTGAAGCCAGGAGCCAGGAGCTTCTTCTGAGTCTCCCACGTGGGTTCAGGGCTCCAAAGACTTGGACCATCTTCTACTGCTTTCCAAGGCAATAGCAAAGAGCTGGATTGGAAGTGGAGCAGCCTGGACTCAAACCGTCACCCATATGGGATGCCGGTACTGCTGGCAGCAGCTTTACCTGCTACACCACGATGCCAGCACTCCCACCTAGCATTTTCTAACTTCATAGCATTCTGAGAGAACAATGACTTTGCAGCCAGAGTATCCCAAGATCAAACCAGGGGCCAAGTCAAATCACTTGGCCTTTACAGTAGTGGCTTTGGCTATAGCCTACACACTAAGTTATATAGTAGATTACCCATAAACTCCTACTGATTTTCATTTAAATTTTATAAAGGAAATGTTTTAAAAACAGTTTCTCAGACAAATTATAGTTGAAAGATGTTAATGTATGGTGGAATGAGAAGGCCATGCCAAGATGGCCACTGGCAAGCAAGCGTCAGTTACTCAGGAGTGGCTTAGGAAACCCCTGGGAAACCCCCTGGCAACAGAGCATGACTGGCAACAGGCTGTGATTGGATGGCTTTGGATACTTCCTGGTAACAGGCTGTGATTGGTTAGGGCATAAACCACCCCTTAACCAGATAGGCTTTCTTGGCAATTTAAGCTGCTGTTGCAACTGAAATAGATGAGTCTGTGGGCTGCTCGCCTCTGGCCTGCTTTCACCTGACTCCCGGGGTCTGTGTGGTGACTCCACGCCTCTTGCCCCCACCATGCTCCTCCTCTCAGAATGAATCCACAGCAACAAATGTAGCTGATTTCCTGCATAAGAGTCAGAAAATATTAATTCTACATTATTCAAAATGGAGAACTTTATGCTTCAAAAGAACTCTAAAGCTACTGACCTAAAAAATATGAGGGGGTCTTCAAAAATTCATAGAAAGTGCATATTTTGAAAAAACTATGCATGGAGTTGAAACAGTTTTGCATCAAAATAAACATATCTTAATTTTATTTTTCCACAATTTTTGAAGCCCCCTTGTATACAGACTCTATAAATATTTCTATCAACACTTTTATCCTACATAATGTTCAGTACTTGTTGACATCACAAGAAACAAGATTTGGGTGAGAAGACATTGCTCAAATAACCGAATCTTCAAAAAATTCCAAAGATTTTCAAATTATATCACTCCGAAGATGGATAGACATTTAAGCTATTTTGTAATTACATTCAATAAAAACACAAGCTATTGCTTTGGAAGATTATGTTTATCAGTTGACAGTATCCAAACAGAGTCAGCATAGGCATTTGGTTCAGTGGCTACGCTGCCTCTTGGGACACCTGCATTGCGTACCAGAGTGCCTGGGTTGAAGTCTTGTCTCTGCTCCTAATTCCAGCTTCCAGCTAATGCAGACTCTCAGAAGGGATCCAATACTTGGGTGTGGGAGACCTGGATTGAACTTCCAGCTCCTGGCTTTGGCCTGGCCGAAGCCTGTCTGTTGCAGGTGCTTGGTGCATGAACCAGTGCATGAGAGTTCTGTCTATCAGTCTTGCTGCCTCTCAAAAAAAATCTGCAAAAAATATAAAAAAAGAAGCAAAATCAAGAGTTGGAAATGTGAATTGATCAGGAGGACACCTTCCCGACAACTTGATTTGTGCTTCCTGATCCGTGGTTATTCTCTCCATTCTTCCCATCCCCATTCAAGCTATGTCAGTGAACACTTCCCCCACTGTGAGACTAATCCATCCTTGATCCCAGTCCCTTCTTATGCTACTTTTTACCCTATAGTTAATCTGGCAGTGAGATCTCACCTATCTGAAATATGGCTTTTCAGAACTCAGGTCAAGTTCACTGATGTCTAAATCAAGTTCTTGTATACAGTTTTATACTCTGAAGATAAACACAATAATAATTCTCTACCCTATACTTATGTGGTTATAAGTCCTTAGGGTAACCACTAAAAACTAGAATATCTATAAATTTTAATTAATTATCTAACTTAGCTGCTTAAGAAATACTCAAATGGGAAAACAAGACAAACACATAAATCTTAAAAAAAGAAATTATGACAACAGTTGTCATGAGGGAAAGGGGGCCAGTGCTGTGGCGTAGCAGGTAAAGCTGCTGCCTGCAGTGCCAGAATCCCATATGGGCTCTGGTTCAAGTTCCAGCTGCTCCACTTCTGATCCAGCTCTCTGCTGTGGCCTGGGAAAGCACTGAAGGATGGCCCAAGTCCTTGGGCCCCTGTACCCACATGGGAGATCCAGAATATGCTTCTGGCTCCTGGCTTCAGATCAGCACAGCTCCAGCCCTTGCAGCCAACTGGGGAGTGAACCAGTGGATGGAAGACCTCTCTCTCTCTCTCTCTCTCTCTCTGTGTGTGTGTGTGTGTGTGTAATTCTGCCTTTCAAATAAATAAATAAATAAGTCTCTTTAAAAAAGGGGGGGGGCAGCACTGTGGTATAGCAGGTAAAGCCACCGCCTGCAGTGCTGGCATCCCATATGGGCACCCGTTGGAGTCTTGGATGCTCCACTTTTGATCCAGTTCTCAGTTATGGCCTGGGGAAGCAGTAGAAGATAACCCAAGTCCTTGGGCCCTCACACTCATGTGGGAGACCTGGAGGAAGCTCCTGGCTCCTGGCTTCAGATAGACTCAGCTCCAGCCATTGTAGCCATCTGGGGAGTGAACCAGCAGATTGAAAACTCTCTCTCTCTCTCTCTCTCTGCCTTTCAAATAAATACATAAATAAATAAACAACCTTTTAAAAACAGGAATATCAGAATGTGTATCTATAAACAGCTAAAATCTTTTTTAAGATTATTTATTTGAAAGAGTTACACAGAGAGGGAAGGAGGCAGAGACAGAGAGGTCTTCCATCCGCATCTTCTACTGCTTTCCTAGGCTGTAGCAGAGAGCTGGATTGAAGTGGAGCAGCCAGGTCTCGAACCGGCGCCTATATGGGATGCTGGCACTACAGGCAGCGGTTTTACCCACTACGCCACTGCACCTGGCCCATTGCTAAAATCTTTTAAAAGAAACAGTAGCAGTTGCAATAAGAACTTGCATTCATCACTGTCCCACCCTCCCTGTAGATTTGAGAAGGAAATTGCTTTTGAAAACAATCATGTCAACACCATGCAGGAAAACAGAGACCATCCAACTTTATTTAACACAGTAAGCCCACCAAGTCCAGTGCAGCCACCTGCCAAACCAATCAACCTTGTAGGATGTCACTATGCAGACATGATAGAGTAATACTGGAAGCCACACAGGGAACATCAAGTTAGTTTCAGAGATCAGATATCACACCATATTACAGGTCATCATGTGGACCTAAAAATCAGTATTACAGGTCACTGTCCAGGCCTCATACTAGTTTCAGTGGCCAACTTTTTTTTTTTTTTTTTGACAGACAGAGTTAGTGAGAGAGAGAGACAGAGAGAAAGGTCTTCCTTCCGTTGGTTCACCCCACAAATGGCCGCTATGGCCAGCACTGCGCCGATCCGAAGCCAGGAGCCAGGCACCTCCTCCTGGTCTCCCATGCAGGTGCAGGGCCCAAGCACTTGGGCCATCCTCCACTGCCTTCCCGGGCCACAGCAGAGAGCTGGACTGGAAGAGGAGCAACTGGGACTAGTATCCAGCGCCCCAACTAGGACTAGAACCCGGGGTGCCAGCGCCACAGGTGGAGGATTAGTCTAGTGAGCCACGGCGCCAGCCATGGATATCTTATTGGTAGATATCTTGTGCTTTAGGTGGAATTTCTCCCCCGGTCCCCCCAGACCTTTCTGTGTCCAGCACTCTGAAGACCTGTCAGCCAGAGATTGGAAGCATTTTACAGAGTGCAGATCTGAGAGTTCATCCTTGCTGGGAACCTGGTGCACTTCTCACACCCTTGATGGCTACAGTCAGAAAAAGCAGGCTCGCGCGCCCTCTGGCGCACTTCTCACATCTTTGATGGCTACAGTCAGAAAAGGCAGGCTCGCGCGCCCTCTGGTGGCTTCTAGGACTCGGCACAGGACTCGCGGCCGTTCGCCACAGACTACACCTCCCAGTGGTCCCCACGGGCATCCTGCGTCAGAGGACCGCGTCTCCCAGAACACCCACGGGCTCTGGACTCAGACTCCATTTCCCAGGGTCCCTTAGGCGCCCGCCATCAGACTCCATCTCCCAGAGCCCCGTGGGCGCCTGCATCAGACTGCATCTCCCAGAGCCCCGCGGACAGCCGACTTCCGAGGACTCCTCTCACGGAGGGCCCTGCGGGGGTGCCCTCTTTGAGGAGCCCGTCTTCCGTCTTCCAGAGCACTCTGCGCAAATCCCTAAGACCCCATCTCCAAGAGCCCCATGGGCGCCTCAGACTCGAACTCCCAGAGCCAGCGAGCGACAAGCCTCAAAGGACTCCATCTCCCAGAGTCCCGTGGGCGCCTGCCTCAGACTCCATCTCCCAGAGCCCCATGGGCGCCTGCCTCAGACTTTATCTCCCAGAGCCCGGGTGCGCCCGCCATCAGACTCCATCTCCCAGAGCCCCGTGGGTGTCCCAGCTCCTAGGGCTCCGTCTCACGGAGGGCCCTGCTGGGCTGCCCTCTTTGAGGACCCCAGCTTCCAGAGCCCCCTGAGCATGAAACCCTCAGAAAGCCATCTGCGAAAGCCCCGCGGGCGCCCCCCGCGACTCCAACTACCAGAGCCCCAGCCAGCGACAAGCCTCGGAGGACTCCATCTCCAGGGGTCCCCGCGGGCGTCATACATCAGAGGACCGCGTCTCCCAGAATGCACGGTGGTCTCCCGCTTCAGACTCCATCTCCCAGAGGTCCCCGCGCTCATTGTTCGTCAGAGGGCCACGTCTTCCAGAACACCTCGCGGGCGCTCATCTCAGACTAACTTTCCAGGGTCCTGTGAGCGCCAGCCTCAGACTCCATCTCCCAGAGTTCCTAGCAGGATGCTCACGTCAGAGGACCGCTTCTCCCAGAACACCTTGCAGGCGCTCGCCGCAGACTCCATCTCCAGCGGCAAGCTCCAAAGGACTCCATCTCCCTGCGTTCCCCGAGGGCGCAACACACACACACACACACACACACACGCGTATCCTCAGAACGATGGAGCCCTAGATGTGGAGTGCAGAGCACGACAGGGCATCTGTCACAGATGCGTGGACACTCACGACGCGTGGTGGGAGACGGCGCTGTGTGGAATCCACAGGCCGGAATGAAAGTGGAATGTACACGAGCAGTGCACCGTCCTTCTTACAGGGCCAACAGAGGCTTCGGGCGTCAGGCGTTGCGGCACAGCCGCTAAGTGGCTGCCTGCAATGCCGGCATTCCCTATGGGCGCTGCTTAGATCAAGCTACTGCACTCCCAATCCAGTTCCCCGCTGATGTGCCTGGGAAAGCCTTGGGTGGTGGCCAGAGTCTTGCACCCCTGCCACGCCCATGAAAGACACAGGAGGGAGTTCCAGGCTCCTGGCTTCAGCTTGGCCCGCCCCACCATTGTCGCCATTTGGGGAATGGAAGATCTGTCTCTCCTCTGTCACTGTAGCTCAAGAAAGAAAGAGAGAAGGAGGGAGGGGGGAGGGAAGGAAGGAAGAGAAAAAAAATTAAGTTTAAAAAGAAAAAAGGAGTCTGAGGGAGCCTGTTTCACCGTCCCGCCATTCAAGGCCACAGCTGCAGACCCATCAGGGAAGAGCAGGTCTGCACCAGAAATCTCCAGAGCTTCAATCTTTGTCTGCTGTCCAGGACCACGGGCAATACATTATGTGAGATCTACTTCCTGAAAACCCATAACCCCAGGCCCATTGTGAGGAAAGTCAGAAAGAGAAACATGGCATAGAGCTGGAGACCTAGAAGCCATGAGCGATTTTCTAGTAAAAATAATAAAGTTGGGGCAGTGCTGTGGTGGTAGTGGGTTAAACCACAACCTGTAGTACCAGCATCCCATATGGGCACCGGGTAAGTCTCTCCCTGGTACTCTGACACCAATCAGAGAAGCACCATGTCCTGCCTCTCCAGTCTACGCATATCCTGGAGCCTGTGTGAAGTGGCCAGACCCTAAATGCCTCCATTCCACTTTCATCTTCACTCATTTCCCAGCGTGCAATCTTTTCCCTGAGACCATGGATTGCAGGGGACACAGTGCACATCTGCGCTGGGAGATAAGTAGGAAGTGAGAGAAGCCTGGAAGGGCATTCCCTGAATCTGAGGTCCCCAGAGGCGATCCCCAGCTCTGCCCTCCACTGCCTCCTCTACAGTGGAGACTCCTGGGTTCCTACAGCCACGGGACAGGGTGGAGAGTCCTCCCCTTTGTGGTGCATCCTGCAGAGCAGTGCAGTCGTGCACATTTATGTCTCAGCAAAACTGAGTTCCCATCTCCATGGAGAACCTTAGGAAAGGTCATGTGGTGTGAGCTTCTGTTTCTATGTCAGCTTTGCAACACTGAATGTAAAAATGGTCACTGAAAAACCCAGGAAGCTTGCTTATTTTGAGAGTTGAAGGATCAAATTCCACTGCATTAACTGTAAATTTCAAGATTTAGAGGTGACTTTTTCTTTTTTAGTTGTCTTAAAGATTTTAAAATTTATATGAGAGTTACAGAGAAAGACAGAGAGGTCTTAGATCTACTGGCCCAGTCTCCAAAAGGCTACAATGGCCCAGACTGGTCCAGGCCAAAGTCAGGAGCCAGAGATCTTTCCCAAGTCTCCTGCATGTGTGCAGGGGACCAAGCACTTGAGTCGTCTGCCACTGTTTTTCCAGGCAAATTAGCCCAGAGCTGGACTGGAGGTGAAACTGTCAGGTCCTGGACTTGTGCCCATACTGGATGCCAGCGTCACAGACGGCAGCTTAACCTGCTATACCACAATGTCAGCCCAAAGTAGTTTTATTTTAAACATTGCCTTTGTTAATGAAATAAATCTATTCATCCTTGATTTTTCCAGTCATTTCTTTATTCTCTGTGAATTTGCATTTGCTCTTTGGGATACCAACCCTTCTGCATTATTGACTGCAAACATTATATGAGGTTCCCTCTGTCATTCATGAAGGGATGAAAGCATAAACTCATTTTAATGTGAACCTAAGGAGATCATTTTAACATTAAAGACAGATAATCTTGAGGTAGTTTCCTTTTTCCCTTCATTTGCTCGATTTTATTTATTTCCCCACCTCTCTGGTGTAAGCATGGTTTTAATAGCACAAGTTTCCATTAGTTGTGTTTCCAGAGTGGCCATGAGAAGCGCTCAGATGTAGTCAGCTGACGCCTAGTACTAGTTCTGCAGTATAAAGCGTAAGCACATCAGAGCACTGTGTTGGTTTCTGATTTTCAGACTGCTTTTTTCTTGCTTTTTATAAACATCACAACTTGAATTAACATATCTCAGTCCATGCTGTGGATAGACGTTAAACCATGTGTTGTAGAAAATAGGGGTGGAGGGAGAGTTTCTGGGGGATGTTCCATCTCTGTCTGGCTTCTTGGTGATTTGGACCTGGGTCAGTGATAAATTCATGCTTCTCCTGGTCTGCTTGCCTTCTAGGAGTCCAACTGTATATTATTCTAGCTATTTGTTCCTCCAGGTTATTGCTTTGCAGGTTCCTTTGAATGCCTGTTATAATTCAGGCCTATTTTTGGTTAGGAACGGCAGCAGTGGAGATGAATGTATGTGTTACTGTTGTCCCACTAAGCAGCCTGGAGTAGAGCCGATG